TTATCTGAGCATGGTATTTTGAATATAACTCAATCTGGGTTTAGGCCAGGGCACAGCACTATCACAGCAACCACATTAGTTGTTAATGGTATTGTCAATGCTTTAGACACTAAAATGAATTGTGCTGCCTTGTTTGTGGACCTGTCTAAAGCGTTTGATACTGTTGATCATGCTATTTTATTGGCCTGGGCTCTGACGCCTGCTCTTGGTTTCGTGATTATCTTAGTGACAGAACACAGGCCATCGTGATTGATGGGGTTAAATCTGAATTTCTTGAAGTACATTAAGGTGTTCTGCAGGGGTCGATACTAGGACCTGTTCTTTTCACTATTTATATAAATGATATTGGTCAATCTGTTAAACATTTTAAATGTAATCTATATGTGGATGATACTATTATCTATGCAATTGCCACGACTGCTGACCTGACTGTGACAAGTCTGCAGTCTGATTTTGCAGTTGTGCAGGAAGCCCTTACTGATTTTAAAACTTGTGCTTAAACGGGGGAAACAAAATACATGTTGTTTTCAAGTTGTCGTAAGATTGTCTCAGATGGATTACATCTTCATTCATCGGATGGTTCTGTAATCGAACGAGTCCCTGCATACAAATACCTTGGTATTTGGATTGACAATGATTTTATTGTTGAAAAAACATACACATGAGCTTGTTAAGAAACTAAGATTTAAAGTGTGCTTTTTTTTTTACAGAAACAGATCTGGTCTCTTTCTAGTCAGCAGGAAGCAGATTGTGCAGTCAACCGTTCTACCTGTTCTTGATTATGGTGATACTATTTATCAAACTACCTCTACTCTTAAACCTCTGGATGGTTTTCACATAGCGCCCTTCATTTATCACATGAGACAGTGCTGGACCTCTGAAGTCACGTAGATCACATCATTACGCTCTTTTTGTTTACAAAGCCCTGCTCCACAAGCTTCTGGCTTACCTAACTTCACTGTTAAGATTTTAAATTACAAGTTATCAAACCCGTTCACAGGGTTGGTTAACTCTGGAGACTCCTTTGGTGTCTACAGAGTTAGGTAAGTCAGCCTTTTAGTTTTTTTGCTCCACATGTTTGGAATGATCTCCAAAATAAATGTTGAATAGATGCGTTAGTGTCCCTAGGGCAGTTCAGCCAGCGGACAGAGGATTTTTATAATGAAGAATGTGTTTGTTTTAGTTGACTGTGTTTTTGTGTATATTTATGTTTGGCTGTGCAGTATGAATTGTGCTGTATTTTATTTGTTTTATATTGCATTTTGTATGTATTTTATGAAATTGTATATGCAGGGTTCCCTTGTAAAAGAGACACTGGTCTCAGGGGTGACTCACGGTAGGGATGGTGTTAGACAGGTGTTGAGTGGTGCCTGGTTTTCTCCAGACATAGCGCTTTGCATTCTGGTCAAAGAGTTCAATTTCCGTCTCATCAGACCACAGTATATTTTGCCTTATGATATCAGAGTATTTCACGTGCCTTTTTCTCAGGAGTGGCTTCAGTCCATAAACCCCAGATTGGTGAAGTGCTGTAGAGACTGTTGTCCTTCTGGCAGGTTCTCCCACCTTAGCTAAGGAACTCTGTAGTTCTGTCAGTGTGGTCATTGGGTTCTTGGTCACCTCCCTGACCAAGGTCCTTCTTGCCCGGTTGCTCAGTTTGGTCAGACAGCCAGCTCTTGGCTGAGTGGGTAGTTCCACATTTTGTCAATTTCTAAATTATTGAGACCACTGTGCTCTTGGAAACTTTCAACACTCTATAAATAGTTTTATACCCTTCCCCAGATATATGCCTCATCACAATTCCGTGGACTTCATGGTATAGTTTCGGCTCGGACATGCACTGTCAACTGTGGGACCTTACAGTATATAGACGTGTGTTTCTTTCTAAATCATGTCCAAACAATTGAATTGGCCAGAGGTGGACTCCAATCAAGTTGCAGTGACTCAAGGATGATCAAATTATATTGGATGCACCTGAGCTCAATTTGGAGTGTCATAGCAAAGGGGTGTAAATACTTCCGTAAATGAAATATGTTTCATTTTCAATACATTTGCAAAAAAATTTAAAAACATGTTTTCACTTCATCATTATGGGGTATTGTGTGTAGTGGGTGAGAAAAAAAAATATTCAATCAATTTTGAATTAAGGCTGTAAAACAACAAAATGTGGAATAAGTCAAGGGGTATGAATACTTTCTGAAGGCACTGTACGTGCCATGATTTTGACTTTCATTATAATCTTGTTTACGATCTGAGATACATGGAGCACTTTTACAATAAAGAAAATATAATAAACAGATCCACTACAATTCAGTTACTGTATGTAAATAACCGACGAGAGTTTATGAAGAATGACAACAACCTATCGTTGTCGTCTAGTTTCTTTATTTACTTTCAACAACATAATTCAACAGTGTTAACTTATTAACATTTTTTAATGTAATCTCCAGTATCATTACAAAGTCTATTTTGCAAAATGATGAAATAGACTTTGATGATACTGAAGATTATACCATGGGCCATTAAGTATACTTAGTATTGGTTACTGTGTTTGGCCTCAGACACAGAGGCCTATAGCCTGCCCTGTAGATAATCATGGCGTTCTGCAATGAATAGATGGCAGACAGGGTATAGGCCAGTATGGTCAAACAGGCTGTTCTGGTTCTGCATCTTCTGGGGACCTATTGAAAACAGTACAACAATGATATAGCAAATTAAGATGCATAATGTATGCCTTTTTGTTTTGATGACAAAACAAAGTAGCCTACACACCTGTTGAAGTTTGTCGCTTTCAGAGTCCAACTCGAGCTCCGACTGACAGGTTGAATACCATGTACCTTTTGTTGTTGTTGTTTTCTGAAGGGGTAAGGAGGTGTGCTCTAGACCTTCCTATTGGCCAATCAGGCTGTGTATGTAAATATCAAATTTCATATTCAATTTTGTTTTCTAACGCCCACACGATCAGACTGAGCATTTCAGTGGCCCAAACAGGCTCAAGGAAAGAAATGATTAAAAAAATATATTGAGGAGTTATATAAAAAAACAACAGTGATTTAAAAAGACTGCATGGGGGCTTTAATTTTTGCAGGAATTTCCGCTGTGACTGTGGAAACAGCAAGTTTGGAGAGATGGCGTGCAAGCTATACTCAGTAAGTTTCCTTACATTTATTGAAATTATTTGGTAGTTTGACTTCGAGACATTGGGTCAAGAACAGCATGATAGGCATGTTTTCTATATGAAGCCAGCTACAAGAGTACTACAGTAGTAGAAAAAGTACCCCCTAAATGGAAATAAATATTATTCAATATCAACTTTGCATAATATTGTAGTGTATATTTATACCCCAGACCATTGGTTTCCAAATATTCTATGAGTAAAATGTTGCTATTCTGATTTTTTATTTTAAATCATAAATCATTGCTGTTCCAATTAAGCCCTGTTTACATTGAAACACATTGGCATTGTGTTGATATCCCTACATTTGTGCATATTATGCATCTATTCATGGTGCCTTTACCAAGATTAAAAACAATTAAGAACAATTCAAAGAATCTGTACTCTCCGAGACGTTTGGAGTGGGCAGGTAGTCATTGATGCAGAGAGGGAAAAATAAGATTAGGCTTGAAAGATTGCAGGGACAGAAGACCTACAAGTAGTGAACAAAAATTGAAACAAATGAGGGACAAGATGACTATTGGACGGCTACTCAGTTTGAGCCGGGGCATTGTCATCTTGTTGTCCCTCATTCATCCAGGTGTTTCTTATTTTTTTGGTTCACCACATATACCTTTGTAATACAACAGTAGAGAAGGCAATTTGAAACTGTCTTCGAACAGGCTTTAGGAAGACAAGTTGAACTAATACTCCTGAGTGGCGCAGTGGTCTAAGGCACTGCATCGCAGTGCTAACTGTGCCACTAGAGATCCTGGTTCGAATCCAGGCTCTGTCACAGCCGGCCGCGACCGGGAGACTCATGGGCGGCGCGCAATTGGCCCAGCGTCGTCCAGGGTAGGGGAGGGAATGGCCGGCAGGGATGTAGCTCAGTTGATAGAGCATGGCGTTTGCAACGCCAGGGTTGTGGGTTCAATTCCCACGGGGGGCCAGTATAAAAAAAATATGTATTCACTAACTGTAAGTCGCTCTGGATAAGAGCGTCTGCTAAATGACTAAAATGTAAATGTAAATGTAATTAATAAGAATAGGAGTACAGCAAATGTGAGCCAGCTTTCAGATAATTCATTAAAAGTTGTTTGTGTTATGGTCTTTGTGCATGGCGTCTTATCAAGAGGGTCAGTGCGGGGGCAGGTTTTTGTTCTAACCAAGCAGTAACACACCTGATTCAACTAATCAGGTCTTGATTTAAGTCTGTGATTAGTTTAATCTGGTTTGTACTGGTTTGCAAGAACAAAAGCCTGAGCCCAAATTGATCTCTACGGCTAAGATTGGACACCCCCTGTTATGAATGCTACTTCCATGATGAATAGTAATGATCAATTGATTTTAATAACTTTAGGGGATATGATTATAATTGAAGCATAAGAAATGTCTGTTTTAAGTTTTCAGCATTTGGAAATGAATTACAATTGATTATTTAAGAGGTGGGCTTATTTGGAACACCCATGTGCTTAAAGGGTACATTCGGTACCCATTAAGCCCAGTCTGGACTTTTCACACATTTTATTACAAAAAATTCTCACATAAAAAAAGAGTGTAAGTAAAGTAATACAATTTTACATGAGAGATTAATCTTACATGTTATCTCTACTTTTTAAAATGAAAATTAGGGCTGTATATGTTAGAAATGTCTAAACTTAGATTCAGGTGGGCTTAATAGGTACATTTACCTGAATTGATAAGTGGAATGAATTGTGTTAGTGCTAGGGCAAAAACAAAAGTATGCATCCCTTTGGGTACCCAGGACCAGGATTGGGAGACACTGATCTTGGCATAGAGTACAGTACTACATGGCCCATGATTACTGATTATGCTTTTTTTCCTTTAGGACAAGAATGAGTTGAACACAGAGAACAAATACAGTCACAATTTTTTTGGTCTGTATTGCACCTGTAACAGACCGTATCCAGACCCAGAAGACCTGGTAAGGAGTGGACCATTCACCTCAAATAGAGTCTATGAATTGGTTTTTAGAAATCAGTATTCCAGTGAAGAGCTATTGACCGAAACGTGTGTCTTTCTCAGGTTGAAGATGAGATGATTCAGTGCATTGTCTGCGAGGACTGGCTTCATGGCAGGGTAAGGCCTTTGTGGAGCATCAAAGCATAAGGATGTGTTCCAGATGCACAGGTCCCTGGGCACGTATTCACAAAGTGTCTCAGAGAAGGAGTGCTGATCTAGAATCAGTTTTGCACTTTAAATCATAATTAATAAGATCAGTGAGATCTGATCCTAGATCAACACTCCTTCTCTGAGACTCTTTGTGAATACAGGACAAATTATTTATAGGCCTGGATAAGTGTTTAACACAGGGTTCTGTTGTTCCAGCCCAGCACCAACACTGGATTCAGCTAAAGCCATACAAAGTTGATTTTACTGTTTCCAGACCCAGACCCAGAAGACCTGGTAAAAAAAAACAATAGATTCTTTTGAATTATATGAATCGATTCTTTAAAACGATTATTCTTGACAAAATTAATGATTCAATTCGTTGTTGTAGTAGTTCAATCGCGGTGAATCGAATCATATGAATCAAAATAATCATTTGTGAATGAATCTCGAACAGTAATTCAAGCTGTAGCAGTCCTTTTGGATTATGTGGCTGCATAACTTGTTTTGTAGATACTTCAATTTGATTTGGGAATTCAGTTTATGGGACATCGCAACTTAATAGATGCTAGTAAGCCTGCAAAGAAACACTTCTAAAGTAAGATAAATATGGGTAAACTAGAAAAGGTACATTTCCTGAAGGAAATGTGTGTTTGCTTCATCTGTGTAAAAATATGTGTATGGTAGTGGGAGATGTGTGAAATGTAGAATTCAAGCTGAATAGAAGCTGAAGTCGTTTGTTATAGTAAGAATAGGTCAGATTACTTTAGTAGACTGCTATATACACTATATTTCAGCTAGCACATCAATTAATACAAATAGCAGAACTATGCCTCTGAAAAATGAACTGTGCCTAAAACTCAGCCGTTACAGGCTTTCAATGGTGCTATCCAACTCCTGACACCAATGTAGTTAATTAGGGGGGGCTACCCTGACCAAGACTCAAACTGGTCCCTGTGACTGTCTTTCCAAAACCATTATACCAAAAGTTTAACATTTATTGGTAATGTTGCTAGGTGTTGTACTAAGGTTGTTTAGTAATTTTACAAGGGGTTCGATTATGATATATATATATATATATATATATATATATATATATATATATATATATATATATATATATATATAAATAAATGAGATTTTTTTATTTGCTTGCTAGCCTTACTAAAAAAAAAATTATGGTAACAGTAAATGAACTTTGTATGGCCTAATCGTGGTCCAAATTGAATGGGTGTGTTCAGTAGGACACAACGTAGCAAAATGTTTTAAAATGGAAAGCGAAAATGAGTATTCTTATTAGACAGGTTCAGGTAGGAGCTCCTCTGTTACAAAATGCTTTCTCGTGTTTTGTGCCTGCTGAACACAGCTCATGATATGTTGAGAATTGCGTTAGTGCCAGGCTGGAATAAAAGCCTGTACACCCAGTAGCTCTACAGAACCGGAGAAGGAGAACCCTGGTTTAACATCCGGGAACCACATCAACATAATATACAGATCCTATAATCTGTGACGTCCTGCTCAGAATCTGTAGTCCTATATCTTGAACGCTTCCCGAGTCTGTAACTCAAGTCCGGTCTGGTCTTAACAGTGGACCCTTGATGCCATAACTGCTCATATGAGCACATGCTATATGAGTATTATATGAGTGTTATTACTGTTTCCTCTAGCACTTGGGCTGCCCTGTGCCGGAGTGTGTGGAGCTCCAGGAGATGGTGTGTGAGTCCTGCATGAACAAGGCTCCTTTCCTGTGGACCTACGCTACTCATCTGGCAGGTACTCTCATAGAGATCCTATAATTGACAGTGATTCTATATTTAATTATATTGGTACTCTCTCCTTACCTTCAGTTTACTGGCATGCCCTGATTATCAGCTAATTCGGAAAGAAAACACAAACAAACTTCAGGATAAGAGACATCCTTTAGGCCTACTCTTGAGTTCTTTTGAGAGACTACGTTGAGTATGTTTACATGAACACTAATAATTCGATATTAAACTGATTATGGCAATAGGCCGAGTATGGCATTAGTCATGTAAACACCTTACTCTGCTTATCTTAATCGGTGTAAGGTCATAATCGAAGTAAGCATACGCCGAGTAAAACACCTGGTTTTCTGGGTTTTCTTTCAAATTATTAGGACATGTAAACAGCTGTGTATTTGATCTGCGCATGTGCTAGCATGAGCAGTGCAAGCTTCCTTTTGTGCGAGTGAAGTGAGTACGGAAAAACTGAAATTATGCATTTTAGAAATAGTTTTCACATACAAACTTTATATGTCTGAACTCTGAATCAAATAGTTTTCACAAAAAGAACATGGTCGCTGTGGTAGAACATTTATTTTGATTGGCGATTTTCTGCATTTATCAGAGTTCCATCAGGTAGCCTGATTTCAGAGGTGCCCATGTAAACAGGATTATTAGGGAAATCGATCTTCTTGAAAAGCATGTAAACGTTTAAATCAAACTATTATATTAATCTGACTATTCACAATCGTATTATTGTGTGCATGTAACAGTACTGAGTACGTTTACATGAACAGTAATAATTCAATATTAAACCAATTATGGCCGTAGGCAGATTATTCAATAGTCTTGTAAACGTCTTACTCTGTTTATCTTAATCAGCGTAAGTTCAAAATCGAAGTAAGTGTACGCTGATTAAAACACCTGGTTTTCTGAGCAATCTTTAGAATGATTAAGACATGTAAACACCTTAATCGGCGTTCCAGCAGTTTATTTGATCTGCGCATGTGCTAGCAACAGCCGAGCGAGTCTACCTCTTTTAGCGCGAGTGAAGTGAGTTCGGAACAACTGAATGTATGCATCTTAGAAGTAGTTTTCACAAACTTTATATGTCTGAACTCAGAATCAAAAAAATGCTTCCCAAAAATAACATGGTCACTGTGGTAGAACATTTATTTTGATTGGCGAGGTAGCCTAATTTCAGATGTGTCCATGTAAACAGGATTATTAGGGAAATTGTTCTCGTTCCAAAGCATGTAAACGTTTTAATCAAACTCTTATATTAATCAGACTATCTACAATAATCACATCATTGTGTGCATGTACTCATTGTGGTTTTAGTCTTTATTTTATGCTTCTATGTGAACGTACAATACTTATGAAACTCCACCCACCCCCCCTCTCGATGAAGTGTGCACTAGTTCGCTACCCCTCGCGTTGAATAGGATTAGATTGGTTTAGTGGCTTCATGTTGTTTTGTATTTCTCATCCAGTGCCTGCTGCGACCAAAGCCAGCCCCTGCAAAGCGGAGGGGGAGCTGAAGAAAGACCACGAGGAGGGCAAGAACACAACAGAGGAGGCCTCCACAAGCCTCAACAACCAGGGGGAAGAGAAGGTACTCACTCCACTTCTCTCAATACAAAGCTTAATCTACACTCAATGTTACGAGGACAATGAAAAGCATGTAATTTTTTACACTACATTCAAAGTCATGAATGAACCAGTAGACGGATATCTTGTTTTGATAGTATAATTCAGAAAGGGATATTATGACCAGATAAAATGGATGGAAATATATTACATTGACAACTTCTTCAATCTTGCTTCATGCATTATTAGGGGTTCACAGCGAAGCAGTATGTAGGTGCATGGTACATCTCTTAACTTAATTTGAGAAAAGCTAAGGGATTGGTTATGAGATGGCTGAGTTATTGATAAATCAGGAAATATGATTGTATGTGGCCATTTAAACCACTGTAAATCCACTCCAGTGGTCTATCAACTTGAAACATGTCATCGCGATCTTGGACGTCCCTAAAATGAACCACACTGAATTTGGTATTTACTCATTCTTTGCTTATCTAACGCTAATGCTCAAAATCATCTGCAATGATCTTCTCAACATGAACCATAAGTTAGATTGACTCCAGATTTGGCATATAGACTCAATGAATTAGCCTCAAATGAATTTGAGAATGATTAGTTGCTGCATTCAATGTCAGCCACGCTACACCACTAGATGGCACCATATCACACCAGGGCTATAAGAACTGAACCGATGGACATGGGTCCATAAAATTTGGTATGTAAACCTTATGTATATGTCCTTAGAAGCTGTTTGAATATAAAGTCACTGCAACCTTAGATGGCTGCACCAGAGCAGTTGGTGGCACTATAGATGTCATTGGCACCAGTGGGACCATAGGATACTAGAGCAATAACTTGATCAAGTGGACTGTCTCATGCAAAATAATGTTACATTTAAATTATGCAGACGAACAAGGTGAAATATCGTGAAAATAACACTGAAAATATTTCAAAATCTTAACATAAACCATTAAAAAATTTACCCCGGAATTGTTATATGAACGTAATACAAAAATAAAAGAAGGAAGCCTGTACAGAATACAAATATTCCAAAACATGCATCCTGTTTGCAACAAGGTACTAAAGGAATAATGCAAAAAATGTGGCAAAGCAATTAACTTTTTGTCCTGAAAACAAAGTGTTATGTTTGGGGCAAATTGAATACAACACATTACTGAGTACCACGCTCCATATTTTCAAGCATAGTGGTGGCTGCATCATGTTTGAGTTTTTCAGGATAAAAAATTAACGGAATGTACAGGAAAAAAAGTACAGGAAAAATCCTAGAGGAAAACCTGGTTGTCTGCTTTCCACCAGACACTGGGACATTAATTTGCCTTTCAGCAGGACAATAACCTAAAAACACAAGGCCAAATCTACACTGGAGTTGCTTACCAAGACAGTGGCCGAGTTACAGTTTTGACTTAAATCGGCTTGAAAATCTATGGCAAGACTTGAAAATGGTTGTCTAGCAATGATCAACAACCAATTTGACAGATCTTGAAGAATTTTGAAAATAATAAATGGGCAAATATTGTACAATCCAGGTGTGCAAAGCACTTACCCAGAAAGACTCATAGCTGTAATCGCTGCCAAAGGTGATTCTCACATGTATTGACTCAGGATTTTGAATGCTAATGTAAATTATATTTCTATATTGAATGTGTAATACACTGTTTATCCTTTCTTTCTTAATTCCCTTCCTTCTTAGACTTCACATATCAGACCAAAATGGATAAGTTAGAGCAATGTGTCCACTTTCTAACCTAATGCTTTCAATCTCTCCATTTATGTCTCACCTTTTGCAATCACATTGAGGATGGAAAGATGCATCCAGTTTTCAAACAGAGGACATTGTGTGACATCTGTCCTTCTCGCAGGTAAAAGCCAATGGGGGGCCAGGTTGCAAAAGGGCGCACCAGGAGATAGAGGGAGGCTCGCCCTCCAAAGCACCCTCTGAGTGCAGGCTCAAGGAGCTGAGGGGCACAGGGACAGAGAGAGCAGAGTCTGGAGCTGTGTTCTGGCCATCAGCCTGGAGAACCAAACTCTGTTCCTGTGTCAGCTGCAAGGTATGTCATCACCACTTCTTATCAGTGGTGATAAGAAGTGGTAGAATTACCATTGACAATGGGAAAACTGTTGCTCACCGCTTCCTCCCTCTCTCTGGCAGAAATTCTATGCCGACGTGAGTGTGTCCTTCCTCCTGGATGAGTCGGACACTGTCCTAGCCTACGAGAACAAAGGCAAGACCACTGAACAGGAGCAGGCAGGGAGCACCGAGGGTCGCGACCCCCTGATGTCGGCCCTCAACACCCTGGGCCGGGTTCAGCAACTGGAGATAATCCATGGTATGAAATGTGGTAGGGGGTTAAAGAAAGAGCGGGAGAGAGACAGCCAGTACCAGTTATCTCCCTATCCCTTTGATGTTTGCAGATCTGAAGGTTCTGGGTAGGTATGTGTAGTGGAGGAGCTTCCATCATTATAACACCGTACAGACCTGCATCCATCAAAGTGTTAGGGGTAGGGAGATAATTGGGACCAGCTGACAGGGAGAGCATGAGTGAGGGAAGGAGGGGGAGGCAGGTGTTGGATGGGTTGTTAGTTAGAGCCATTCCCTCAGCTGTATTGATTGAAAAACAGATTGAATTTATTTTGTGAGGCTAACTGGGGAACAAGCCAAGTGGAGACAACCATTGGTGCCTCAATCAGAAAATACAGCTGCTTTTTAAAGTTGTTTTATTTTGCTGGTTCTCAGGGTACAATGACATGAAGACTGAGCTGAAGGATTTCCTGCAGAGATTTGCTGCAGAAGGAAAGGTAGGTAAAACCTGCCAATTTACCAGCACACACAGACACAGACACACACCCACACTATTCAGTTGAATGATTAAAGGGCAATTCCACCACTTTTCAACCTCATTTTCATGATTTCCAGCACAATACCAGTGTCTACATGTGGAAACAGCTAATTTCTAAGTTATGTAGAAAAATATTAAAGTTAAAATGTTCTACCCGATGACATCATCAAAAGTTAAAACATTTTAAAAACAGTGATTTTAAAACACTAGATATTCCAGTGATGTGGGGAGCAAGAAAACAGACCTCCCTCTGGCTAGAAACTCGTTGCAGGTTTTAAAAATCCCAGTTTTTCCTACTTTTAATCCGACCCTGTGATGTCACAGAGAAGCATTTTCAGGACCTTTCTTCTTATCTTTTTAACCACAGATCATAGAGACTCATATTTCACATACAGTTGAAGTCGGGAAGTTTACATACACCTTAGCCAAATACATTTAAACTCAGTTTTTCACAATTCCTGACATTTAATCCTAGTAAACATTCCCTGTTTTAGGTCAGTTAGGATCACCACTTTATTTTAAGAATGTGGAATGTCAGAATAATGGTAGAGAGAATTATTTATTTAAGCTTTTATTTCTTTCATCACATTCCCAGTGGGTCAGAAGTTTACATACACTCAATTAGTATTTGGTAGCATTGCCTTTTAAATTGTTTAACTTGGGTCAAACGTTTCAGGTAGCCTTCCACACGCTTCCCACAATAAGTTGGGTGAATTTTGGCCCATTCCTCCTGACAGAGCTGGTGTAACTGAGTCAGGTTTGTAGGCCTCCTTGCTCGCACACGCTTTTTCAGTTCTGCCCACACATTTTCTATAGGATTGAGGTCAGGGCTTTGTGATGGCCACTCCAATACCTTGACTTTGTTGTCCTTAAGCCATTTTGCCACAACTTTGGAAGTATGCTTGGGGTCATTGTCCATTTGGAAGACCCATTTGCGACCAAGCTTTAACTTCCTGACTGATGTCTTGAGATGTTGCTTCAATATATTCACATCATTTTTCTTCCTCATGATGCCATCTATTTTGTGAAGTACACCAGTCCCTCCTGCAGCAAAGCACCCCCACAGCATGATGCTGCCACCCCCGTGCTTTTCTTTTCTATGGCGGTTTTGGAGCAGTGGCTTCTTCATTGCTGAGCAGCCTTTCAGGTTATGTCGATATAGGACTCGTTTTACTGTGGATATAGATACTTTTTGTACCTGTTTCCTCCAGCATCTTCACAAGGTCCTTTGCTGTTGTTCTGGGATTGATTTGCACTTTTCGCACCAAAGTACGTTCATCTCTAGGAGACAGAAAGCGTCTCCTTCCTGAGCGGTATGACTGCTGCATGGTCCCATGGTGTTTATACTTGCGTACTATTGTTTGTACAGATGAATGTGGTACCTTCAGGCGTTTGGAAATTGCTCCCAAGAATGAACCAGACTTGTGGAGGTCTACAATTATTTTTCGGAGGTCTTGGCTGATTTCTTTTGATTTTCCCATGATGTCAAGCAAAGAGGCACTGATATTGAAGGTAGGCCTCGAAATACATCCACAGGTACACCTCCAATTGACTCAAATGATGTCAATTAGCCTATCAGAAGCTTCTAAAGCCATGACATAATTTTCTGGAATTTTCCAAGCTGTTGGAAAAATTACTTGTGTCAGGCACAAAGTAGATGTCCTAACCGACTTGCCAAAACTATAGTTTGTTAACAAGACATTTGTGGAGTGGTTGAAAAACAAGTTTTAATGACTCCAACCTACAGTGGGGAGAACAAGTATTTGATACACTGCCGATTTTGCAGGTTTTCCTACTTACAAAGCATGTAGAGGTCTGTAATTTTTATCAAAGGTAGTACACTTCAACTGTGAGAGACAGAATCTAAAACAAAAATCCAGAAAATCACATTGAATGATTTTTAAGTAATTAATTTGCATTTTATTGCATGACATAAGTATTTGATCACCTACCAACCAGTAAGAATTCCGGCTCTCACAGACCTGTTCGTTTTTCTTTAAGAAGCCCTCCTGTTCTCCACTCATTACCTGTATTAACTGCACCTGTTTGAACTCGTTACCTGTATAAAAGACACCTGTCCACACACTCAATCAAACAGACTCCAACCTCTCCACAATGGCCAAGACCAGAGAGCTGTGTAAGGACATCAGGGATAAAATTGTAGACCTGCACAAGGCTGGGATGGGCTACAGGACAATAGGCAAGCAGCTTGGTGAGAAGGCAACAACTGTTGGCGCAATTATTAGAAAATGGAAGAAGTTCAAGATGACGGTCAATCACCCTCGGTCTGGGGCTCCATGCAAGATCTCACCTCGTGGGGCATCAATGATCATGAGGAAGGTGAGGGATCAGCCCAGAACTACACGGCAGGACCTGGTCAATGACCTGAAGAGAGCTGGGACCACAGTCTCAAAGAAAACCATTAGTAACACACTAGGCCGTCATGGATAAAAATCCTGCAGCGCACGCAAGGTCCCCCTGCTCAAGCCAGCGCATGTCCAGGCCCGTCTGAAGTTTGCCAATGACCATCTGGATGATCCAGAGGAGGAATGGGAGAAGGTCATGTGGTCTGATGAGACAAAAATAGAGCTTTTTGGTCTAAACTCCACTCGCCGTGTTTGGAGGAAGAAGAAGGATGAGTACAACCCCAAGAACACCATCCCAACCGTGAAGCATTGAGGTGGAAACATCATTCTTTGGGGATGCTTTTCTGCAAAGGGGACAGGACGACTGCACCGTATTGAGGGAAGGATGGATGGGGCCATGTATCGCGAGATCTTGGCCAACAACCTCCTTCCCTCAGTAAGAGCATTGAAGATGGGTCGTGGCTGGGTCTTCCAGCGTGACAACGACCCGAAACACACAGCCAGGGCAACTAAGGAGTGGCTCCGTAAGAAGCATCTCAAGGTCCTGGAGTGGCCTAACCAGTCTCCAGACCTGAACCCAATAGAAAATCTTTGGAGGGAGCTGAAAGTCCGTATTGCCTAGTGACTGCCCCGAAACCTGAAGGATCTGGAGAAGGTCTGTATGGAGGAGTGGGCCAAAGTCCCTGCTGCAGTGTGTGCAAACCTGGTCAAGATCTACATGAAACGTACGATCTCTGTAATTGTAAACAAAGGTTTCTGTACCAAATATTAAGTTCTGCTTTTCTGATGTATCAAATACTTATGTCATGCAATAAAATGCAAATTAATTACTTAAAAATCATACAATGTGATTTTCTGGATTTTTGTTTTAGATTCCGTCTCTCACAGTTGAAGTGTACCTATGATAAAAATTACAGACCTCTACATGCTTTGTAAGTAGGAAAACCTGCAAAATCGGCAGTGTATCAAATACTTGTTTTCCCCACTGTAAGTTCTGACTTCACTGGTATGGTGCTGGAGATAATGAATATGAGGTTGAAAAGTGGTGGAATTGTCCTTTAAGCATATCCGCATCGTCATTTTATGGTCCTCAGACTATAATGATAGTATTAATGAGAGGATTGTTTTGACCTATATTCACATTGTGTTCTCTGGATCTGAAATGCCACCTCCTGGCTGTCCTATCCTTGGTGTGTGACCATGTGCTCAAACTTTTATTTAAAGTAAATGTCCAATGAAAATCTCATTCTTAAAAGCTCATATTCTGTCAAAATTGTACTCCTAATGTGACCTTGATTGGTTGTATCCAAAGTCGCTCGCTACACACTTTCCAGAAAAAAATACACCCAATAAATTAGGCATAAAAAGTTTGTGCCTCGTCCCCTCCTCTTCCAGGTGGTGACTCCTGAGGACATCCGTCAATTCTTCGAACAGCAGCAGAGCCGCAAGAGACGACGGGCCAATGCGGGCCAGTACTACTGCAGCTGAGCCGTCTCCATCCCATCTGCTCTCGCCTGTTAGTATAGCTGTTTTCCTTTTGATTCTTTCCACTGAATATCATTGCCTTACATCCAATATCATCTTTGAGTTAAATGCCTCAGCTGTTGTTGTAAAAAAGAAAGAAAATGCAGTTAAAAAAAAAAAGTAATTGAACTTTGTATGAGCTTTCGTGTTATCTTCTTTTGGGCAGTATGCTTTGCTGTACTGTACTCTGGGCTCTGCCTTAAGAGTTGCTATGTAATGTGATTTGTCTAACTATTGAGGCTAAGCAGGTCAGTGAACTGACATTTGATTGAAGTGGATTACTTTTTCAAGAGGGAAATGTTTGTCCGTCTATCATGGCTCGCCAAATACTTTGTTTGGACTGGAGAGAGTTTGTCTGCTAGCAACAGTCTTACAGACAGAGCGGTGACCCCAGTCTTATTATGGTGACCCCTTCACCTTTCATTTACCTTTTGCATTTGAAGATTCACGTCAATGGATTTGCTCTTCAAAGCTCATTCAAACTGAACGCATTATCCATTGCTGCACCGCAAATCAAGGTTAAGCTGGTCAATACAAAGGCATTGTTTTGTCTAGTGATTTATCATTCCCACAACATGCTTTCTTTCCTTAGTGGCACTTATGTTGCAGTTACCTTAGTGCTGTCACAGCTGATGACAGTACTAAATCTCATGATTGCAGTACCCTGACCCACTAGTACAGTTTGCCTGTTAAAGGACCACACGTAGTATTACCATTGGTTTCTCTGTTCTAATGTTCACTCTTTGAGAAATAAAGCTATGAATAATGTACATTGTTTTTGCGTCATTGTTACTCCTAGCAGTCCCATCTAGGAGCCATCCACCCATACATTAAAGAGAATATTATGGAAGTTGAAATACATTTTTGCTAGCTTTAATACCCCACATGCTGATTTTTCAGACATCTGGCAAACCATTAAGGGGATATTTTAATCAAACAATCAAACAAGCAATGGAGTTTAGCCAATCGATCAGAAAGCACTAAATCTCTTCCTTGTGAGATCCAAAATGATTATGAACCCGTCCGTTTGAATGTGTTGCTAACATTAGTATATACACTGCTCAAAAAAAATAAAGGGAACACTTAAACAACACAATGTAACTCCAAGTCAATCCCACTTCTGTGAAATCAAACTGTCCACTTAGGAAGCAACACTGATTGACAATACATTTCACATGCTGTTGTGCAAATGGAATAGACAACAGGTGGAAATTATAGGCAATTAGCAAGACACCCCCAATAAAGGACTGGTTTTGCAGGTGGTGACCACAGACCACTTCTCAGTTCCTATGCTTCCTGGCTGATGTTTTGGTCACTTTTGAATGCTGGCGGTGCTTTCACTCTAGTGGTAGCATGAGACGGAGTCTACAACCCACACAAGTGGCTCAGGTAGTGCAGCTCATCCAGGATGGCACATCAATGCGAGCTGTGGCAAGAAGGTTTGCTGTGTCTGTCAGCGTAGTGTCCAGAGCATGGAGGCGCTACCAGGAGACAGGCCAGTACATCAGGAGACGTGGAGGAGGCCGTAGGAGGGAAACAACCCAGCAGCAGGACTGCTACCTCCGCCTTTGTGCAAGGAGGAGCAGGAGGAGCACTGCCAGAGCCCTGCAAAATGACCTCCAGCAGGCCACAAATGTGTATGTGTCTGCTCAAACGGTCAGAAACAGACTCCATGAGGGTGGTATTAGGGCCCGATGTCCACAGGTGGGGGTTGTGCTTACAGCCCAACACCGTGCAGGTTGTTTGGCATTTGCCAGAGAACACCAAGATTTGGCAAATTTGCCACTTGCGCCCTGTGCTCTTCACAGATGAAAGCAGGTTCACACTGAGCACGTGACAGAGTCTGGAGACGCCGTGGAGAATGTTCTGCTGCCTACAACATCCTCCAGCATGACCGGTTTGGCGGTGCGTCAGTCATGGTGTTGGGTGGCATTTCTTTGGGGGGCCGCACAGCCCTCCATGTGCTCGACAGAGATAGCCTGACTGCCATTAGGTACCGAGATGAGATCCTCAGACCCCTTGTGAGACCATATGCTGGTGCGGTTGGCCCTGGGTTCCTCCTAATGCAAGACAATGCTAGACCTCATGTGGCTGGAGTGTGTCAGCAGTTCCTGCAAGAGGAAGGCATTGATGCTATGGACTGGCCCGCCCGTTCCCCAGACCTGAATCCAATTGAGCATCCGATCTGGGACATCATGTCTCGCTCCATCCACCAACGCCACGTTGCACCACAGACTGTCCAGGAGTTGGCGGATGCTTTAGTCCAGGTCTGGGAGGAGATCCCTCAGGAGACCATCCGCCACCTCATCAGGAGCATGCCCAGGCATTGTAGGGAGGTCATACAAGCACGTGGAGGCCACACACACTACTGAGCCTCATTTTGACTTGTTTTAAGGACATTACATCAAAGTTGGATCAGCCTGTAGTGTGGTTTTCCACTTTAATTTTGAGGGTGACTCCAAATCCAGACCTCCATGGGTTGATAAATTTGATTTCCATTGATAATTTTTGTGTGATTTTGTTGTCAGCACATTCAACTATGTAAAGAAAAAAGTATTTAATAAGATTATTTCATTCATTCAGATCTAGGATGTGTTATTTTAGTGTTCCCTTAATTTTTTTGAGCAGTGTAGTTGGATATGTTTACCAACCTATACTGACTTAACTGCAATTTTTAAATGAGTGACAAGTGCTCATGTAGTGGTCCTTGTCTAGCCTCGGTTGACCATCCTGATCTCACGAGTTCATTCGGTTTCAATACACGATATGATGAGCGCAGCGGTCAGGATGGTGGATCAAGCTACTCCTTGTCCTTCTCCTTGTAGACTTTAATAAATGCAGGAAATGAAAAAGAAAGAATCCCAAGCCATTTCTATCAAATCTGTTTATTTTGAAGATGTCAGTCACATAAATTGCAGATTTGAGTTCACCACTGTTACAATCCCAACTGAGAAGAGTAGAAAAATATAAATCTACGAGAAAGCTTTTTTTTCTCCGGATGTATTCAACAAATACATGTGACATTTGTTTTATATAGAAAAACGTATATGTACAACAAAACGACATTTCAGAGACTGTTCAAAGGTACCTAAAATAAAAGAAATACTTTTTGAAAACCACTATGTACGTGAATCATTGGCTACGCTATTACAAAGAGACTGGTTAAGTGGGCTGGTAGAAAAGGCTTGCATAGGACCAAGGTAAGGAGGATGCCCAGCCACTGGCAGGGAAGGCACTCTTTCGTCTCCATACAAGAGGGAGGGATGGGGAGCTAAAGGAGGATCTGGAGGAAACTACAGAATAGTCTTAAATGAATAAAACTGTCCGTGGGTTACCATTTTTCATCTTTATTGCAACAGTCCTTTTTGTCCAACCATTGTGGTAAAACACACATACACAACAATACAATATAATTAGTAATCTAAAAGCAAAAAAACGAACAAAAAACATTTACACACTGCAGGATTGCTAATGTTAATCTACTCACTCTGTCCAAAGCCAGGAGTCAAACCTTCAACCTCAGCACAGATGAGACACGGTTCAGGGCAGACCTGGGGTCATCTCTACACTTGAGAGAAAGCTCTGCATTTGCCATTAAAATAGATGAACTCATACCTGAATGACCAACAAATTTAGCTGTGTCAGGGAAAATGTGCTCATGCTAGTATTTGGAGAGAAAACGGCTCATACCACCTGTATTTGCCAAACTGTCCTAAGCTCATAACTGTTATTAGTATAGCAATTAATTAATACATACATGTGCAGTATTAGCAAAGAAAACGGGTAAGAACTGTTTTGGCTAGGAAATGATTTCATGCGTCCACGTCCACGTTCACAACGAATATAGCTCAAACTTAGATTTGCCAGTTTGTGGAAAGCTAAATTAGTAGCTACAATTAGCCTAGACATGCATTTCAAAACAAACTAGCTTATAACGAAAGGAAAACAGACCCGAATGACAAACCCAAACCAATTTTGTTTTACTGTTATTCGATTCAAGGAGTTAAGCACAGAGGCTTGGGCGATATACCGTATACTAGGCTATTTGGAAATAGCCACGGGATGGTTTTTCAATACCGTCAATACCGTTGAAACTATTTACTTGACATTTTTCAATAAATTGTAATATTTGTAGCTACTTTTTAAGTCAACTTGTGCAATATGTTAGGAGAGAAAGCAGAACGCGTGCATTATTTTACATTATGAAGCCAGGCACGTGTTTGCTTGTAAATAGCACAATGGGAGAAAGCAGGAGCAGGTGAGTCCAGCTGTGTATTGATAGGGGTCGCATTTGATATTGAGTCAAGTGTTGTTTTTTTTCTTCAATAGAGTGATCAGGGGCGTGCAACTATAGTTTTCCTCCACAGAAAATACATTAGTGCAACACATTCGGCGGAAAATAGCTTAATATTCATCAGATGACAACAGAAGTTCAATGCTATTTGGCTGGCAGCCAGAGGAGTAAATGAGCTTACAATGAAAAAGTAATGCTACTCTTAGATCTGCTATTGTTAGTTCAAAAGAGAAGCCCACTGTGGTCTGCTCACCCAGTGCGTTTAGTTCAAATGTGAATTCCATCAACTTGAATACCCCCTCGGTTTTCAAATCACGTAATGGGCGTGGGCTGGTGCATGATAACAACTAAAGCCCATTTAAGTCAGTTTATAACATTACATCGTTGGTTCCTCATATTGACGTTGGCTGCGGCCTCAGATCCTATGGTGCTAACCTTGGAAAAGTAATTCAAATTTCTACTCTTTCCTATATTACTAATAGGGATAGACCAAATGGTGCAGTTCTATGCAATCTTATAGCCATATCAACTACAGTGGGGAGTCTCATCAGACCACATGACCTTCTCCCATTCCTCCTCTGGATCATCCAGATGGTCATTGTCAAACTTCAGACGGGACATGCGCTGGCTTGAGCAGGGGGACCTTGCGTGTGCTGCAGGATTTTAATCC